GAGGCGCGGCGGGCATGCTCACCTCCGCCGCCCGCGCGCTGCTCTCCCCGCTGCGCGCAGCGGCCGCGTGGGCGAGCGGGGTCGGGGGGGGCGCCGCCTCCTCCTCCTCGCCCGCTGCTCGCTCGGCGATCAACCGGACCACGCTGCCGGACGGGCGGCGCGCGCTCTTCATGTCTTGCTGTCCGACATGTCCAAGGCCGTTCCTAGACCTTTCCTGGAACCTTCCTGCAGGCGCGCCCTCTTCATGTTCTGCTCGCCGACCGTCGCTCCTCTGGACTGCAACCCCGAGGCCAAGGCGCTCGTGGCGGCGGGGCTGCTGCCCGCCTCTCCGCCGCCCCTCGCCGGCGGCTAGCCCCTCCCGAGCTACTCCTCTCGCGGAGCCGTCTCGGAGCCGTCTCGGAGCCGTCTCCCCTGCAGGCGGCTCCTTCTCCGACTTGCGGCGCGCGCTCGAGGAGTGGAGGCCGCACTTGTTCTGGTTCGCGGGGCACGGCGACACGCGGCTTGTCGACGGCGACTCGACGATCGGCTTCTCGGCGCCCGACGGCGCGCTGCAGCTCGTCTCACCGGCGGTGATCGCCGCGGCGCTGCGGCAGCACCGCGCCGACGCACGGCGGGCGACCTCGGAGCCTTTTCTTGGAACCTTCTCGGAACCTTCCCTGCAGGCAGCACGTGCCGCTGCACGGCGGCGACCTCGAGTGCGTCGTGCTCAACGCCTGCTCCTCCGGCTTCGGCGTCGGCTCGCTCGGCGAGAGCAGCAGAGAGCAGCCGAGATTAGCAGCCGAGAGCAGCCGAGAGCAGCCGAGATTAGCAGCCGAGAGCAGCCGAGATTAGCAGCCGAGAGCAGCCGAGATTAGCCGAGAGCAGCAGAGATTAGCAGCCGAGAGGAGCCGAGCGGAGCCGAGCGGAGAAGAGATGGCCCGAGATCGTTTCGGCGTCGGTTCGCTCGGCGAGCTTGCTGCGCCCGCACGCCGGTGACGAGATGTCCCGAGGTGGCCCGAGGTGGCCCGAGATGACCCGAGATTGCCCGAGATCAGGCGAGATGCTGCACCGCACGTCCGTTCCCTGCGTCGTCGGCTGGACCACGCGCGCGCACAACATCGCGTCGGCCGTCTTTGCACTCGGTTTCGGCGCGTGTGTGGCGAGCGGGCGCACCTACCCGGAGGCGTTCGAGGGGGGCGTGCTGGCGGTGCCACCCTCCCCTACCCCACGGCACCCGAACCCACCCTCCCCTACCCCCACGGTACCCGAACCCACCCTCCCCTACCCCACGGCACCCGAACCCACCCTCCCCTAGGTACCGCGGAGTCACGAGCCGCGGCGGACGGTAATACGTCGAGGTGCGGCACGGCTGATTAATTGATCAGTCATTAATCAGTCATTAATTAGTTCATTAATTGGCGGACGGTGATACGTCGAGGTGCGGCACGGCGGCGTCCGGTTGCGCGGCGCCGCGGGCGGACACGCGACTGCGGTGGCGGCGGCGGAGGAGTACGCGAGGCTGCGGCTGGAGCGGGCGACGCGGGAGGCGGCGGCGGCGGCGGCGCAGCAGCAGCAGCAGCAGCAGCAGCAACAGCAGCAGCAGCAGCAGCAGCAGCAACAGCAGCAGCAGCAGCAGCAGCAGCAGCAGCGGCAGCGGCAGCAGCGGCAGCAGCAGCAGGCTGTGCCGGCGAGCGGCGAGGCGGGGGTGGAGGCGGGGGTGGCCGCCGTGGCCGCGGGCGGCGGCGGTGTGCATCTCGACGAGGAGATCGAGGTTGAGGTGGAGGAGGAGGGAGCAGTTTCGTGGGAGGTTGCCGAGGTGATCGCGCTGCTGCAGGGCGGCCGTTTCCTCGCCTAATTGATTACCGCGAATCGATTAATTAGTCAACGATGATTCATGGATTAGGCGGCCGCTTCCTCGCCAGGATCGCTGGCGACAACGAGTTCATCGAGGAGCTCGGGCCGGCCAAGGATGAGTGACTTAATTC